TGCGTGCGTAAATAAAAATATAGCGAGAGGGAGAGGGTGACAGGGAATGCAAAAGTAGTAACTATATTAGAAGGAACATGTGCCTGTGTGTGTGCCTGTGCGTGTCTGTCTGCGTGTGTGTTCCTGTCCGTGCCAGTGTGTGTGCCGTTTATGCCGTACGTGCGTGTGACTGCGCATGCGTGTGCATATTTCTGTCTGCATTCTCCCCTGCCTCAGTCCCTCTCCCCTTTCTCTCTTTTTTCATTCCTCTTCCCCTCTCACTCCGTTCCCCTCAGTATTTCCCTCCCCCTCTCGCGAATAGTATCGCCCACGGCATCAGGTGCACGGTTAAAAGTCAGCCAGCCAAAAGGCCGGTTTTCACCATCAACATTTTCACCCCCCCCCCAAAGCACAAAATATGATTTTACGGCAATAATACGCGTTTTTGCAGTCGCACAAACACACATACACACACACTAACGGACGCGCACACGCGGGCATAGTCGCACGCACGCGTGCGCGTGTATTATAGGCGTAAATTCACATTCACATTTTGTGCCTCGCGGAGTGAAAAAGATTCAGCTGAAATACGGCCATTTACCTGCAAAAGTTTTTCCATGCTTGACTGGTCGTGGGCGATACCATCCGCGAGAGGGGAGTAAGGTGTGTAATGTACTGCTGCCATCTAGTGGCAAATGCTGGAATGAATGAAAAGTCAGGGAAGAGAATAAAGGTTAGCCTTGTTTGGCACAGTTCTGACTTCTCTCGACGAATATTACAAAGTGATTACTTTTATTCACTGTTAATGTTACTGTTTTATGAAACGACCATTGAGTACGTCGGTAATTGGCGAGCTGTTTGATCTGCTGTCGCCACTCGTGTCAAATAACTATTTTTACTTTATATATGAATATAAGGTAAATATGATGACTCAACTCTCAATTAAAAATCTTAAACTACTCGTCACAGATTGTTCTTGAAAAACATGTCCTTGAAATGTTATTTAAATGTCCTTGAAAAAATAATTCACTTTTGTGGAAACCATGTATCAAGCTATACTTCTGCTAACCCGACCAGGCTGTGTGACTAACGTCAATACACCCTATTCTAACCCCCTATTCTCCCTATTCCCCCAATACACCCTATTCTAACCCTAGCAATACCGTTTCTTGGAGCTATACTTCTGCAAGTGTTTGCGGTTCATTCTCCGAGTATAACTATAACAAAATATTATTTCATGAATTTGATAAAGGATGAACTAGTGCACAGGCCACCTCTATTGGCCGATTTATATTCTATTAGTGTTACGCCACCTGCGAAAACATTCCATCTTGCAATTATTAAAAAAACCGTCAAAATGAAATAATGTATTGTTTAATAGTAACAAGACAAGGATATCCTGATAAGAAAGAGGTATCGTGCTGGGAGAGAGAGAGAGAGCGAGAGAAACCAGCTACAGGGTAAACTTCGGTTATAAATACATAAATACTTCCAAGGAAAGTACAACCAAGCCACAACCTAACTTCCTTGCTCACTTTGTTCGAATGCTTTATTAATTTTTTCTCACATGTACAAGAAATACGACAAGTGAGCATTGTCCAGCAGTTTAAAAAATGATATCAGATACAATTTAGTCGCACGCATCGACATAGAATCGAGGATACAAATATCACGAATGAATTATAATGTAACGCCAAATAGCAACAGTATCCCCCAACTCCAACGAAGGCTCGATTACAAAACCACACACAAGTATAACAGTGTAGTTGTGAGCGGTAGAAGATTCTGGTTTCCTACAATAATTTCCGGCTGTATGGTCAGGGAACGTTGATATATTAATATCATATATAATAGATTATATCTTGATTATATATAACGTCGATATATACGACCGTTTCACGTCGCACGCATAGTGTCTGTGCGAACGAAGACCTTCCTGTAATGCCACAGTGACACTATCCGGCCATTCAAATAAGAACCTACACTTCGCAGGGTTACGAGTTTTCTTGACCGGCTGTTAAAACTATAATAGTTACCTAATACTTTTGCCGTTTGGGTTATACGTGATAGCTGACAAATAATCGAAATGACGACTTACCGTTACGCGAGCGATGACGTATTGCTTCTAGTTTCACAAACAAACAACCGAATGACAAACGATGTGACAGCCCGACTGTGTGGATGTGTACGAACGAACACGTTTGCCACGGTTGTTTTTTCCCATACATTTTTCCATATGTCATGCAATTATCGGATTTATTTTATTATTAATGGGAAGCCCAATTCATCTTGCTCCCTCTTTGATAAAACTTCGATTTTAACGGCGAGTTAAGTACCAAGATCGCATTCGGACTTTCATTTTTTGAGCAAGTATATTACATTTCTCACGTCTTCATACAATAACTATGTTAATATAATTATATATAACTGGTTTTTTATCACATTTTTCTTTGGGTTCGGTCAGTATGATGCCCAGGTTCACCAGTAATACTTACTTCTACACACATCTCAAGAAACAACAACATAAATCGAGTGTGCCCCGCACACATGGTTATGGCCACCAGGGGGAGACTCCACACTGCTAGATGGCGCTGTTAGCAACCAGCAAAACAGTCACGTGTTGTGACTAACAAAAGAGAGGCTTAGCCATCGAAGCAAAATACAGGTAACCATCACCAATCTCTAAATTCTAATCCTAACCTTTGACCTCCATCACACATAGTACTCCGAGAAACAGGGCAAGTGAAGCGCACTCTCTCTATGGCTTCTCCTCCGTAGTTTCCAACGCCACCTAGCGGTCAGAGACCTCTCGCCATGTTAAAATTTTCAAGGTTGTTGCGATTTTTTTTGCCGTGTATGAAACCAGTGATCAGCCTTATACATGGCAAGCTGGTGAGCATGGACAACACATCTACCGCACCCATTACTTTCAGTTTACTTTCAGTAAGTTTTTTTCAAGGTACACTAAATAATTATAAGTTTATATCTACACTAAAAGCGATGTGAACAGTACACTATTTCACGTTGCCGTGGAGGTTTTTTAAGTTAAAGGTAAAACAACGATAATAATAACGTCACTATATGTACACGACGCGCCGCCGCCGCGGCTGGCACGATGAATATCAACGCACCACCGCCGCCAGCGGGCGAATATTTACATCAGTCTTCACTAGATCACACGTCCTGCACTAGATCACACACCCTACACTCGATCTCACTAGATCACATGTCCTACACTCGATCTCGCTAGATCACATGTCCTACACTCGATCTCGCTAGATCACACGTCCCGCACTCGATCTCGCTAGATCACACGTCCCGCACTCAATCTCGCTAGATCACACGACCCGCACTCGATCTCGCTAGATCACACGTCCCACACTCGATCTCGTAGATCACACACCCTACACTCGATCTTCCTGGATCACGCACCCTACACTCGGCAGGGAAATACCTTGGCGAGGTCATTCGATTCTCACGACCTTGGCGAGGTCATTCGATTCTCACGACCTTGGCAAGGTCATTCAATTCTCACGACCTTGGCAAGGTTATTCGATCCTCGCGAGTAGAACATGAGCTGCACAGCACAGCAACCTCACGCGTACACACACAATATCAGAAATGGCGTGGACATAAATCCAACATAATACTATTTTTTTGGAACGTTTAACCCGAGTTCCGGGGAACGAGATATTTTACTATAATTGCTGCGAAGTGACGGAAACCACTCGCGAGCAGTCGATCGTTAATACGATTATAACTCGCTTAAAAAACAGAATGACATTTCAGCTGCATGTCCCCTTCTATGTCTACAAGTCTTCTACGTTCAAAGCCGGCACCTGTAACTAACGGATATTACGATCAGGGGGGCAGCACCCCGCGGCCATCTAATCTGAGGACGGAAAAAGCTGCGAAAGATAGCTAACGAGGAAATATATAAACAATAAGGACGAGAGGGCTGATTCCCCGACACAAGCCAGGTGCTCGTGGGTAAAAAAGCGCTAAATTCTCTTCACTCGCGCTCGATTCACTAAATTCTGCATTCACTTCCAGGTGAACCCCGCGTGCGCGCAGGGGAGGGGACACGATAGAGGGGCAACTAACAGAAGGTGCGAGTGAATCTCGCTTACGTATATGTACAGCGCGATGAAGCCACCCTGGCCAGCCTCGCCACGTCTCTCTCTCCGCACTCAGCAAACTACCCGGCTTATCCGCTGGTCTATATCTACAGCAAGGGGGGGAGGACTACCAGGGGGGGGGCTACCAGGGAGAATGACAGGGGGAGATAAATCGCGACACCACGCTTCTAAGCGCAAAAACAGGTAGGTGGAGCCGTCGGGATCGCCCGGCCAACGCGATGACTGAGCCGCAAAAAATCCCCGTTTATATGTGGAGGGTACGCGAGGAGCCCTTCTAGCCAACAACCCCTCCAGCGACAGAAAAGACTAGCAGAACACCGGCGGCTACCCGCTCGTTGGTCTGCTGCCTGGCCCCCTGTCCTAACGCCGGGGGACCCACCGTCACGGCTCAGCCCCCACTCTAACACTGGAAGACCCACCGTCACAGCTCGGCCCCCACCCTAACACTGGATGACCCACCCTTAGAGTGCGGTCTCCACGCCCAAACGTTCTAACAATAGGGGGTGCCTCACCTACGGTCCTGTTCCCCACCCTAACACTGGATGAC